TATATATATTTATTAAACCATGGAGCTATCTAATACAACAAAACAGTATGCAGTCTCATGGCAAAACATCTAGCACAAATATGGATATGTTTTATTAACAACGCTCTAACAAATATTGTATAGAGAATCCAGACTATAACTTCCCAACATCATCACTGCTGTTTCCCAGTGTTACTATGTGCATATTATGTTGTGCCACTGACAACCGTCAATGCTTTTAGAATCTCCTGCTTTCACTGGTGTCATTTCATCTCATTTCATTGCTGTGCCCTTGAGCTACATCCCACTGATCAGGCCTATGCAGCCGGATTGGGCCGTTTGCTCTTATCCCATGATTTGGGGAAGAGCTTTGGCTCTTTTTAGTAAGTCCTCATAGAATGAACATCTTTACTGAATGATCCACAAGGCAGCTCAGTTGTAGAACATTAAGAAAATAGCTCTAAAAGGACTTGCTTAAGCAATGATTTTAAAAACTGTTATATTGCAAGATACATTCATAATACAATATTTTATGTTTTCAAATATTCTCGCAATGTAGCTTGAAATTAAAGACACTGATTACTATTGGCAGGATTCTTAATACCAAGCACTCATGTCATAGAAGCACACATTCATTAAGCTGACCTTGGAAAGGAAAAGAAAAGTAAGGTACATGTATCTTGTTTCTTTTGAACAATCTGGACAAAATTGGTATTATTTGATTACAAACATTTTTTAAAAAATATTGGGACTGTTTTAAATCTACAATGTTTAAATGCATTTATCTTTTATTTATTTGAACATAAATATTCAACTTAAAACACATATTTCTTGAAACTGAAGACAGAAACCCATGAAATGAACTCTCTTGAGCTTAAACATCAAATACAAATTCAGAGAATATAAAATTAGAAAATACACAATAGGCTAATATTTTCCAGCTTGATTACTCCTATTCTTAGGTAATTAGATGCCAAAAAAGAAAAGGGCTAGAACTTTCCAGCTATTATTCTACAGCTGGATTTATCAGATGAAACCACAACAATGCAGAACATAACACTTTTCTCTTTAGCAGGCTTTGAGAATTTAAGTATGGTACGGTCTGCTAGCAAGTAACATCTCCCATTCCAAGTCTGTGCAACAAGAACTGAAGATGCTGGTAATAAAGATTTCCTTACCTCCATTATTTTCCTGGTAAATCTGTTCATTTGCCTGCAACAGGGACACAGATAGTATTTTATGCAGTAGAAAAGCAACACGAAAAGCCACACTTGGTTTTTATAAATCACACTTGTAAATCAAAACATATTAAAGCATTTACCCTTCTGAAGCCTTCATGCATGAATGTGTCTCCTCCGGGCACTACTCTCTGGAGAATGGCAAGACCACGGCGGATGACTTCCCTTGCAAAAAAGATAAGCCTGTAAGCTCGTACTTTGTCAACAGATAATGTCGCAAGCCCTCAAGATATTTATATAAGAAAGCAACAATGCAAACAGTACAACAAGATTGAAAAGCAAACAGCAGACAGCACAGTCCCAAACATACTTCCTCTGATTTCTGTCCCATGGCATATGCAAATGAGCACAGGGACACAAAGGCTGCAATTACCTCCCCAGCATTCCGATTTTCTTTGATACTACTAAGGAAATATTCCTTTGTTTCTCTCTTTGTTTTTCATGTATGTTTACTGAAAATTATGTGCATGAAAAAAGAAAAACTAAAGAAGCTACAATTACATAAATTATTAACCAGACAAGCAACTAGATTGAACAACATGCAATCCTCTAAAAATAAGAAAATCTGAAATTCTTGTTGTAATTTTGTATCCTGCCTTCAACCTCTACAACAATTTGGCTTCTTTCTATTTTTCCTTTCCTTTTCTCAACCCCTGTAAGCACCAAACACCCCAAAAATGCCTCTCAGTATTGTATTCTATGCACCTGATTGAATGAACTAAAATCCTGGGAACCTTTTTTTTTTTTTATCTATGCTCAGTCTTTACCGACTCTGCAGTGACTGCTTGGACGAGTCCT